ATTGAGCCTCTGGCGAAGCGAGGAATAATCATCTCGCGATGACAGGAATGAACATCTGGCGAGGCGAGAAATAAACATCTCGCGAGGCCAGGGATAAGCCTCTGGCAAAACGAGGAATAATCTCGCGAAGCAACACCTCGCGAGGCCAGGAATAAACACCTAGCGGAGCGAGGAATAAACATCTCGCGAAACCAGGAATGAACCTCTGGCGAAGCGAGGAATAATCATCTCGCGGGGTCAGGAATCAACATTTGACGAAGCGAGAAATAAACATCCCGCTAATAAAGCCTCAAATAATAGAGGTGATCATAAAAAGAGGCTTTGAATAAGAGAAATCCGAACTAAGCAATTTATCGAGTTTTTTTTGCGTGCATTGTAAAAATAAATTTTTTTTTTGTACAAATGAATTTTGTAGTCTATGCACGAAATCATGAAAGATTACAATGACAAATAGGCTCAGTTTTTTAACAAAATCCATGAGGCCATGTGGTGTTGATATACTTGGGAGAAAATATATATAGCAATGACCAGGAAAAATTAGCACCAACTAAAGTATTGAAAGGGGGCCCAAACGCTTTAGATTAAGAGAGGCTAATGAGGCCCAAGAAGAATTAATTATTTTGGCCAAAATTTTGCATAAGATGCTGACCCGAATAAGCCCACTAATCAACCAACAATTTCCATTGTGCAAGTGGGTGAAATTAATTGCATAGTCAGGAAAAATACCATCAAGACGTGAACATCTCTTCCTTTGTCAGACAAAATATCTTGCAATTGAATGGGCTTCTGCAAAGACGCCTCCACCACTGCCGTCTATCCATCACATTGGACCAATGTACAAAAGCTGAAACGGTGGGCTGAAGTTTTCCGGCGGGTTGAGGGCTGCCGCCACGGAGGTCTTCGAAAAAATTCACGGGATGCTCCGGCTGATTCAATGAGGGTCACCGGATTAAAATTCCGGACTGGGCTTTCGTCGAGCAGGTGGCCTGCGCCTGTCCCTAATAGCTCCTCCTTGGCCAAAGTTTTGTATGTGTTGAAATCTTCACATTTGATTATCTGAAATTTTGTTGAGAAAGTGGCGAGAGGAT